AATAAACAATACATAAAAAGTAAACAAACATGTAGATCATAATTTTAGATGAATTATGAGACTTGAACGGCCTCATTCTGACTTCAAATGAATTTATTATGAATTTTACTAGATTAAATCTAATTAAAGCCCATTTAAAAAGAATTAAATAAATTTAATTCAATTTATGGATAATTTTAATATGTAGATCTTTATTTTATACAACTTTTGCAACTTGAACCACATAAAACTGAGTTACAATGAATTAGTTATGAATTTTTAAAGATTAAATCGGATTAAAACACTTATATGGATTTTAATTGAATTATGACGCAATAATGAATTATTTTTGAAAATGAAAAGGGAATTATTGCGTCAGTGGCTAGGGTTTGCGGTGGACCGGGTGCACGGCGGCGGCTCACGGGAACGAACGGCCGAGATCGAACCTATCCCAAACGAACGGCCGAGATCAACCGATCCACGACCGGGCCACGACGGACGGTCCCGATGACGTCAGCGGTGACGTCACCACTGGCGGCGGCTCGGGCTTGCAAACTCGCCGGCGAACGACGGCGCGGCGACGCGAACGGAGGGCACCTGCACGTAGAGGGCGACGCGGCGAACTCACCGGTGACCAAAGAAGCGGCGGAGGAGCAACGGACGGCGACGGCGTCGAGGAAAAGGCGGCGGCACTCTTCGGCTTGACGACGGCGACGGTGCTCCAGCGGTCTTCAGCGACGGCGAAGGGGCGGACGAGGACGGCGACGCGATGGCGACCACGATGGCAACCTTCCCGAGCGACGGCGACGACTGGAGCGACGGCGAAGCACGGCTGGAGCGACGGCGACGACTGCGGTACAAGGTCTCACGGTGCTAGGGCGCTTCCGACGACAAGAGACGAAGGCGAGGGTGGCGGCGGGTAGCGGCGACACCGGGGGTCCTTTTAAAGGGGCTAGCGAGCGGCGACGGAGGCCCACGGCAACCGGCGACGAGAAGGAAAGGTTAGGGTTCGGAGGAAAGAGACCGATCCGATTCGACCTCGAATCCACGAACTTCCAAAGCGAAAAAGACGATGATTCCAAAAGACCGAGGACGGTTTTCCGTGAAGAAGGGGAGGATGATGTGACCATGGCTACCACAGATGCAACCATTGCTCACATCATGGATGAACAAGAAGATATCAAGATCAAATCCTCCAAGTGCTGGAATCCGATTCGGCCACCTACTACACTGCTGACTTCAAACGGCTGCCGAATCTGCATACGACCTCCGTTTTCGGCCCGTGAGTACTTGATGGAAAGCTCTTGGAGTCCTCTTTCCAATGGATCCAGCCTCATTGCGAAATTCCATCTTATTGAGCCGCAATTGAAGCAACAAGGTGCTGCGTCACCTATAATGGGCCTATGGGCTTGTAACTTCGTCTGGGACCCCGGCCCAGGTGGGGCCCATGTGGGGTGCGCCCCAGCCAGGTGGAGCACGACCCTAGGCACCCCTAGGTCGTCCTCCCACCCCTATTTATATAGTTAGGTACCCCTTCAGGGTTTCTTGGGTTTTGATAGATTAAAGTTTAGCCATTGCTACTTGCTTGCAGCGCGCGTGTCGGCTAGACCGTCCGTCTGCTTGTTCTTTGGAACCCCAACTTATCATTCGTATTTAACTCCTATTTGCAATTCAGATTGCTTTTATCTTGTTCTTGCTTGTTTCTTCGATTTGCTTGCAGGAATAAGGTTGATTTGCACCGGCAAGATCAACAACCCACGGAGATGTGTATCGATCGCTAAGGCGCAACACAACGTCTCGTACGGTTGTAGTCGGATCGTCAACGTTTCTCCCAAATCGTAGTTATCACAACTCACCGAAAGATCGGGCCAACAACAGCCTTGAGTGTCGAAAGGAACTCAGGGTTCATCAAAACTGACCATCATTTTCTGTCACAACCCGACCATATGCAAATACCATTAATATAATTATCATTAAGGTACACCACTTTCTTTTATACTCCCTCTGTCCCCTAATATAAGGGATTTTAATATTTTGCTTGCACTGTTTCATCACTCGTCTTATTAAAAAAATCGTGCAAATATAAAAAACGATAAGTTGTGCTTAAAGTACTTTGGATAATAAAGTAAGTCACAAATAAAATAAATAATAATTTCAAATTTTTTTCAATAAGACGAATAGTCAAAGAGTGCAAGCAAAATGTCAAAATCCCTTATATTAGGGGACGGAGGAATTACATAATTAACCAATCAACTCTAGACGGGGGCAGATCCAGAACAAGATTTAAGGGCGGAATCATCTCCTTCTTCCTTCTTCAGTCCCCCTACTCTTCATTTTCTCTGATGAAGACATAACTAGCTCGGATATAACCATGACTACCTTATATATTAATCAACCAAAGGTGCATATGTTCTATATTAGATTTACTTGTTATATATTTGAAAAAACGTTGCTACACAATGAGTTTTATGTGATTTCATTTGCAGAGGTACTTGCTTGGGCGAAAGAAAAGAGGCCGAGCGTAAGGAATGCACGCATGATTAAATAAGTTGATTAGGGACCAAACCAAGACCTTCTCTAAGTCTACTTCTACCTTACCACGTCACTTTTGGTCCATAGAAGATAAATGGTCAAGTTTCACACGTTTTGGATTCGGATTCGGGCCTCCTGATAGCATCAACTTCAAACAGACCTAGCCGCTGATCTAGAAGGAATTTCGGGGCCCATAAATACTTGTTGGAAAGGTTATGGAGTCTAATTTCAGATGGTTTTTGTCCCACATCAAAATTCCTACCGAGCTGCCGGGAATCTGCAAAACAAGCCACGTATCTTATCCAGTCCGAATCTGGTTTGGGTTTTGAGCCTTGTAATTGTATCGTGGGCTTAGCCCAAAAGGGTGTGCGCCCAAGGGCAACCTAGGATGTCCCTAATCATATTTATTCAGTAGCCGTCATCGTTTAGAGTCGGGTTTTGCTTAGATTAATCTGTCAAGAACAGTTTCGCCGCTAGATCGGTTTGTAGATCCCCAAATTTGAGTGCTTAATCATTCATATGCAATTGTATCGCAATCTATCTTGTTCTTGCTTGTGTTCTTCGATTCATATGCAGGGATTAGCCTTCTCGACGAGGTCAACCAGGTTTCGGCATGGTTGATAACCAAAGGAGACGTGGTGCTGCGATTGCGGGGCTCAGTAGCGTGTTCGTTCAGAACGGATCGAGTTGTGTCGCGACTCCGTCCAAATCGACTGTTTATCAAAACCTATCGGAAGATCGGGACCTAACATTCCTTATTATTCTCCCTATACATTCTTCCCATTCATCTCCCCTTCTATCAATGAGGATCTAGCGGAGTAGGGGGGACTCGAGTCCCCCCAGCACCCACACTGGATCGTTACAATACAATACTGGGCGCATATGATACTTACAAGTAAGGAGATTACATTGACCATGCTAATTAAAGAAATAAATACCTTCGGTTAATCCCAGGACAATCATTGTATTCCCATCCCATGAATCAGGTGACGGTGCTCGGGATCGGTGGCTTCGTGATGATGATGGGGATTGGGTGAAGGAGTGAGGGCGATGTAGATCTTCATGGCGTCGACCCTCGGGATTGGAGGCAATGGGGACCGGGAAGACATAGAGTTGGGCGGCGCGACGGGCGGAGGGTACCACAAGGAGGCATGATGGTTGGCTCGAGCAGCGCGACGGCGACGTGGCGGTGGTGAATCGGCAACGGCGTTCGGGATCGGCAGGGCCACGAGGATGCCTTCCCGAGCAGTGCTTGACGGAGTCCTTCACGACGGAGGAACAACGGCGACTCTTGAGACGGCTGGGTGGCGGCCCTTGTGGCTGTAGTGATTAGGGTTTGCCCGGGGGAGTGGGCGGCGCTTGTGGTGGCAGGGGATGGAGGAAGAGGTGGCAGCGGCGATTAGGGTTTGCTTGGGGAGTGCGTACGACGGCGCCCTAAAGGTTGGGCGAAGGAGGGGGCAAGCAGGCGATGGAAGGGATAGCGGCACCGCGGGCTGGAGCCTTGGGGGTGGGGCCAAGGAGGGGTCCAATTAAAATATTTGCTACTTTTACTGTAAGATACCGAAATTTTAGGATTAAGGAATTTCCATCAAAACTAGTTAAAAGGAAAGTTCTTCAATTTTGTGAACCATAAAATTTCATTTTTAACCTAGGTGTAGTCAACCTAACTTGAACTAAAATAAAATTTGGGAAAAAATTAAAACCTTTACATTTCTAACCTAGGACAAAAATGCAAACCCGATTGAAAGAATGCATACTCACTAGGGACATTGTATAACTTGAGTCATTTTTGTGCATTTTATTTTTTGTTGGCATTGCATAATAGGTCTCATGAACATGAATAAAAGCTAACTTCTCTAAGCAAAACCTAAATGAAAATAAATACACTTGGTTGTATGTGCATTTTAGTATCTTAGGTTTGTTTTTGGATATTTTTGGTGCATCTCATGATAGGTTTCATATTCATGTCATGCCTAAAGAAAATTCCTAAAAAGCAATTAAGCAACAATAAAATTCACCGAAATTCTCATAAATACTACACAACATCCTAAGTTCATAGTAATTTTAGCTTGAATTTATCACATCAAATGTTGGCTCAAATAATTCCTTCAACTCAGCTAGAAATCTGGAAAACAGCATATCACTTAGACTACTTTGCGCCTTCACCAAAATTTAATCATAACTCATCTAGCTAAACCACTTGGTCAGAATGTTAAACCTGTTGTACTCTACCATCAGTTGCAATGGCTTAATTGAATTCGAAGAGAAACCACATGGAATATGTACTACAAGATGTATAAACAGTATTCCTGACTGCAGTCAATAGTGTAACTAGTCAACTTTACTAAATTACCATGGTAAATCAAAAAGTAATAAAACTTTAGAACTTGGAACATTGAACTATCAAATCCTTGTACACCTTGTAGCAACCTTATCTCTCCAAAATTCTAAAATTAAATGGATTAGAGAAAGAGAGTAATATAGTATAGTGTAATAGTGCCAACACTATCTTACTTATGGGACCAAGTCCTTGTGGAGCCCACTCATCAAACAACCACAGCCACACATCATCTACACCTCTCTTATTTAATTTTTTTTTCATTTTTCTAAAGGTGAGAGAGATGGAGATAAAATACAAATCACACCTAAGCTACTACTCTACCTCTCTCATTCACCTAGAATGTATCTACATGGACCCACTTGACATTCACTCATCAGCCATACACCCTTGGCGAATCACCTCTTTGATCCTAAATTCTACTTAAAAAAAAAAAGAAAGAGAGAGAGAGAGAGTTATGTCCAAATTACACCCAAAACTTCACCATACCTCTTCAATCTTCTGGAAACATCTACATGAGGCCACTAGGCAGCCTCTCTTGCTAAACATGGATGGAGTACAAGTTAGGACATAGCCTCATTAGTTTCTAACTCATAAAAATCGTGTCCATGCCATATCATGCCACCTATCTCTCCCTTGCCAGCACAACAATCACTATTTGGTCAACCATTTCACCAGCAAACTCAACTCTTCTTCCTCATCATGTTTCACTAAGAATTAGACCAAGAACTTTATTGTAGAGCCAAGAACATCCTCCTCAATCCTTTCAACCGAAGATGTTTAATCCATTGCTTGATTTCTCTGGTGAGCTTCGCTGCATTTCAACCATGGCAACGTAATCTACACACCATACCTAATATTTTCATATTCAATATTCTTCATTTTCCATGGATCGAACACCTGCGTCGAGCTCGTCGTCGCTCCCGGTGTCCAGTGCGCAGCCGCGGGTTCGCGTCGCCGTTCCCGTCGACCCAGGCCATCTCAGACTAAGCCACTGCGCCATGATTGTCACCAAGACCCTAGGAGCAAGACCACCGAAGGAAACGAGCTGAGGCACCGTCGTTAAAGAGATCGAGCCTTTCTTCTTCAACTCCGGCCGCCGGCGTCAATCTTCAATTCCCGCTGCTCTGGTGAGCCTCGTGTCGATTCCTCACATATACACCATCCTTGAGACCTCTCTAACCACCTGTACACCTTCTCTTAGCTCTCCATCTACCGGACCGTGCTGTCACCGTGAAGCCGACATCATCCTCCGCCTTCAAGCCGTTCCGCGAGCTGCTGCTGCCGTCCAAGCCTCGCCAACACCGTGCTTCTGACCGGTGAGCACCCTAAACCTCCCAAAGATCGAATGCATGCATTCCTTTAGCCCAAAATCAAGTTCCACCGCAACATGCAAAGCCATCTGAAAACCTTCTCCACTATTCTGCAACATACGGGCGCTATGGTTGACCATTTACAGCATATTCACCTTCTCTAGGATTGCATTGACGTGGGACACACTTTTTATTTTTATTCCGACACCATCCGAGCCTCCGTTTGCCGCCGGCGAGCTTGAGATCGAGCTCGGCCATAGCTTGTCCTGCTTCAGCTCGAACCAGGGACCTCCTTACAAGAATTTAATTTAATGTAGGGTCCTTTCTGCAAAAGCACAGGACACACAGCACTGTTGCAGGACCTACTCATATTTATTGAAAACAGGAAGGACTCTTAATGAAAACAGCTATTCAACATGTGCTGAATTGTTCAAATCTACTTTAAACTTCAAAATTGCATACTCCTAACTAATTCATCTAAACTCTTTTTAGGTGAAACCAATTTCTATAGATTCACAAAATTTAGCACTATAATGTTATAAAATAAGAAGTGACACATAAAGTACAAAAATCTATCTCTAAAATTCATCTAAGAAAAATCAGACATAAAATATGCACAGGATTATAAAATGCATAGAAAACTCATTACAACTCATTTTAGAGCAAACTTAGCTTCAACAGATCCACCAACATGTTCTCTAAAATCAAAGTAAAATAAAACATATACACAATTTACATCAAATGCCTCTAAAACTATTACTTCCAAGTTAAGCTGAAATTTAGAAATTGATATAAAATTCATCTTAGGTCCTTTTTGAGTAAACACAAGTTCTGTAGAATCACCAAAACATATAATTCCAAGTTATAAAATAAAATTATATACTTACTATATGATAAAAGCCTATAAAAAATTATGTAAGTAATAACCAACATAGAGCAGCCTTTAAATTCTAAAATTTGTAGAAATTCATTTTTATTTCAAATGGAATGAACCAAGTTTCTATAGAACCAGCAAACAGTGAGCTTCATCATAGTAAAATAAAATATGACACCTTCTGTACAGATTATAGCTCTAATCTTTAAATAGATAACCTAGGAGTTAATCACCTAGTAATGATTAAGCAAAATATATGTGTAAAGGTATTTAAAATGCACTCTAGCTATGAATAAACCAAAATAAAACTTGTTAGACCAGAGAGGTCATAGTTCCAGCCTTAATTCCCAAAGACTTAGCAAACTTAACTCATATAACAATTTCTAGGTTGGTATGTTAAGTAACTAACATAGACCATCCCTATTTATAAAATGTGTAGTAAAATAATATAAACTCTAAAATTATGAACTAAGATTAGATTAGTTAACTAAAATACTCATTTTATACATCACTGGCTAGATGAGGCAAGTTCTGGACCTAAACCTCTAAAGCCATGAACCTATATAACACTATACACCTATAACATGTTATAACTTGTAAAATACATAAAGAATTCATATTAACTCTAAAAATTATGAAACCAAATATGTTAGTCCTAGAAAACACATATCTTCACCCCAGCAAATATAAACTTAATAAGAATCACCTTACAATAGCATTTCATAATAGTACCTAAGTAAATCCTATATTATACCACGCAAATTTCTAAAATTCATAACTCCCAAATAAAAAGAGATAAAATAGAAATTCTTTCACCTAAATTCATCTTAGACCAATACCTATCCACTGTGCACAAATCATGCATTTTAAAGCATTTTGGATTTTTCGCATATTTCGGTGTTTAATTGCATAACATGTACTTTGTATAGATGATTGCTTAGACGGTGAAGAAGTGATTTAGGTGCTGACATTTTCCAGTTGCAAGGCAAGTCCCACCTCCCTCTCTTTAATCACTTTGAACCTATGTTTTGGAGGTTATTGAAAATGTTTGCAAATCTTGCATGTCAATTGTACAGTAATAAATTAAAATTTTGTTAAACTTGTTAGACAAACTCCTATTATTTGCATTATCACCTTAACCCCACATATATCCATATCCATCATTCCTAAACTTAGGAACAATATGACTATACTGTCGACGTTTGATGTCGCGATTCCGGTATTTGATGTCGTGATTCCGGTATTTGCATAGTATAGGGATCGTTGGTACTAGGATATATGCGAAATTGTAATAAAAGAAATGGGGATGAGGATTTTTATACAGATTCAGGCCCCTGAATTGTTAGGTAATAACCCTACTCTTGTCGGTCGAAGCCAGTCGTTGCTCTTATTCACCATGATCACACCAGTACAATATTTGGGGTAGCCTATCTAACTGTTGCCGACTTGACAGCCATAAAACCATCCCGTAGTCGATAACAGAGTAGTCTTCCTCCTCGAATCCGTGCCCGGCGAGATCAAAGACAGCGCTATGTCTCTCCTGACAGCATCTGTAGACACCGTAGGGGACTAGCCATGCTTATCTCTAAAGTCGATATCCGGCGGCATGTCTTGGCGTATGTTGGCTTGTATGTTGATCTATTGCTCCGTGTCCTCTCTCCTCCTAGGGGGCCTTGTATTTATACCCATAGGTGTCTCCTTGTCCAAGTAGAACTAGGGAAACTAATATGGATACAATCCGAGTAGTCCTTGTCGTTTCCATGTAGAACTCTATTCATCCTTCCTTACGCGGAACTCTTCCTATATCCGAAGGTTGTTTCCATATAAGACATGGTATGTGGTGGGTCCTACCGAGATTTAGTCAACTACTATTAGGTATGTGGTATCCATAACCCTGACATATACCACTTTATATATACGAGTTTTGATGTCACTAGGTTACAATAATGCTTAGCCATGCTTAGAATGGTGTTCCTTGTCATTATGGGCTCATTACAAACATGAAAATTGTTTCTGAAATAATCTAGACAGAACTTGAATACTTATGATTTTGATAAATAAAATGGAGCAAAATATGGATTTTAGGTTTGGGCCTCAAGTGGTGCACATATGGTGATTTGTTGTGTACCGATAGGGGTAGAGTGCGTCCAAACCGACCTAAGGACTTCACTCAATGTCAGTTCATTTCGTATACAGTGCAACCACATCCACATGTGCTAGTACGGGATAGCCCAAGCTTAGAAAATTATTTATGATTTAGCCTTACATTCTGGTAGGCCGGTGTATATGAGTTCGTATAATTCAGAAGAGCTTCCTATTTACCCCGACGTGATACAACAGTATTGTGCCTCGTGGTGGGTTGCCGTTGTGTCCGCCACCACGGCGTTAAGTTTAAGGCGTGGGCCCGCCACTTAACGGTTCTAGGTCATATAACGTGTATGGCTTAAGATGGAGTAACACGTATCGTGCTGGTGTAAGGCTAAATCATGAATTTTGGAACAGCTTTGTTGCGGGTAATAAATCGGGTACTTATGTATCGCGTATCGTGCTGGTGTAAGGCTAAATCATGAATTTTGGAACAGCTTTGTTGCGGGTAATAAATCGGGTACTTATGTATCACGTGCCATGCTCTTGCATGATTATTATTTCGCATCTTGTGGGGAAAGTGTACAAACTCTGCAGACTTATGTTTATTCTTCTAAATGCTGAAATTTAACTTCAAAATGTGATGAGATTTGAGAATGATCTCCTTGCTGCCATGGATAGCAATGAGCTGCATACTTATACATGATTAATGTGCCCATATGCTAAGTACTAGCTTGCTGAAATTTATTTGAAAGCAAAATCTGATTTGAATGTGTTTTATGCAAATAAAACTTGCTTTATGATAAAAAGAGACATATTATGCCTTCCTTGATTATATGTCTTGCAAATAGGGTGTTAGGCTTGTGTTGGTGCTTGCCAGTACATTATTTTTAATAATGTACTGACTCTTGCTATTAAATTAATCTTTTGCTTGCATGTTTTAGATTTAGTTTTTTAGTGATGCTGGTAGTACATTATTTCTAATAATGTACTGACTCTTGCTGTTGAATTAACCTTTTGCTTGCATATTTTAGATTTAGTCTTTGAGTGATGCGGGTAATCGACTGCTTCTTCTAGGACTTGAACTTAATGGGGTAAATCCCTAGTCGGTGTGCTTGAGGATTGGGTAGTCAAGCTTCCGCTATTCTATATATTTATTTGGCTGGTCGGCCTATGTAACTATGAAGTAGTTGTAATTTAGAATCACTTTCGTCTTAAGTGTATTTTTCTATGTATTTCCATGCTTGAGATGAAAGTGTGAATCTAGTGTACATCCTGGGAACTAGATTCACATGAGTATGAGTTAAGAATATTTGAGATGTTGTAGATCTTTAGCCATTTTTGTCAAGTCTCCTGAATGTGTAACACAACTGGTCGCCGCCTTCGAGTGGTTTGACGGGCACATCTCAGGCTAAAGTTGACTGGCAGGCTATAGGCCCAGCAATATCTCCAATATTCCTCTCTCGAGGCGTCAGATATTTCATTATGCTTGTTGTTGACTTGAATTATTTATTTCATCTCTCAATTATAATGGAAGGTCCGGAGAGCCTACGACATTTACGTTTGGTAATTATCCGAATGCCCCTCTTAGGTTCGGAGTTAATTTTTTGCTCTTCTAAAGAGGTAGGCATGGACTCCCCAGCGACCCCCACGAACTTCTCGCTGCTTCTCAGTCTGGCACCCCGCAATGAATCATGCTATACAAAAGGTAAAGCCATTGTCCACGCTGGCTTGTGGTTGGTACGGTTAATGTTTCACAACAGTAGCTCACGAACTGGTCCTTTAATTGCCATGAGCACGACCATCAAAATCACATGCTCACAACCCACCATTAATCAGGTTTTATTTATCAATTAATTATCATAACACGATTAACCATCGTGAGCTACCATTAACCATAAGTAATAATGTAATATGATTCATCCCATAAATAAGCTAATGTTTCTAAGCATGGCTAAGCAATTATATATATAGCATTTAGGTGAACCAAACCAATATATAAGGTTCAAGCTAATCAATTTATTACTCATAGGAAAATAAAGTCATTGTTGGCCATAATTAAATGGGAAAGGCTCACCACCCGATAACATTCGAAAATAATGCATAAGTTAAAATAAAACATTAGCTTTAAACGGGTTCAACATGCTCAAAGAGTTGTTTGGGATCTGTGTGACTTGCCTTGAGCTTCCTCAAACGCTTCTGAACCTTCCTCAACGTAAACGCTCTCCTCCGGAACGTTAGAAACTAAAGCAAATAAACACAATCAATAAAACAGTACAAAAACAAGCATAAACAGTACATGTGGATATTTTTAACATGTAGATCTCGATTTTAGATGAATTTAGAAACTTGAACCACTTAAATCCGAGTTACGATATTTTAGTTATGAATTTCCGAAGTTTTAATCATATTTCATCTAATACAGAAAAACTAATAAAAGGATTTATGACGTCATCGATGACATCATCGCCGGCCATGGCTCTGAACCATGAGATCGCCGGCCATGGCTCTGAACCATGATGTCGCCGGAGCTAGAGGACATGGCCGGGTCTTCCGAGGACACCCATGCGAAGAGGACGACGACGCGAACTCACCGGTGCGAAAAACAACGACGGACGACGACGAACGAAGGCCGGCGACGAACTCCAACGGCGGCTTGGCTCGGGTCAACCTCGGCGACGGCGCTCCGACGGTCTTCGGCGGCTGAAAAGGGGCGGCCGAGGTGCTCCTCCACCGCGCGAACCCGACGGCGACGACGGTAAGCGGCGACGGCGACCACAACCCCAGCGCGACGCGGTTGGAACGACGACAACGAAGGCGGCGGCTAGGGCTACGCGGTGGCGGCGCTACGGGCAACGGTAGAGCTCGGAACTTGAGGCAAACGGAAGAGGACGACTTAGGGATGCTTTATATAGGCACGGGTGAGAGAGATCGAACTCAAAACGAGAGGATTTTAACCGGAAAATCCGAGGGTTAGTTTGGAGAGGTAAACTCAAAAACGAGTTTGACTCGGATAAAATACAAGGAATTAGGTTCCGATTCTTAAGGAAAACGAGAGAGGAAGATAAAGGAAATATTTCCCCTCAACTAATTTTCGGAATACACGAGAGATAAGGCCGGATTTGGATGGGAAAAACCTAGCCCACTCGGTCTCAGTTCGGCTGTCCAGAGGTTGAAGATGAACAGTGCAAAGGACGAAAATTAGACTTTTCGGCTGGGCTTCTACTTCTTGGCCCGATTGAAAGAGGGACACAAAGCAGACTTCGACAGAGGGAGGGAGAGGGCTGCAGGCTGAGAGGAGATTGGGCCAAGAAAGAGAGAGGACTTTTCCTGTTTCGGCCCGAAAAGGAAAAGAGGAATTTTAATTACTTTTCCAATTAAATTAATCACTGAAATGATCTTTGAATTGTTAAAAATACTTCCAATGCTCAAATAATTTCAAGAAAAATCCTGAAAATACTTGGACACTCAAAGTACTTAACAAGATTATAATTAGACCATTTAATGATTAATTTAATATGTGGATAATTACTGAAATGTTGTTTGTATTATTAAAATTAGAAATTGAGCTCCGGAAAATCTGAGAAAATTCCAGAGAGTATAATTAACCATGGAGAATTTAATAAAAATAAATCCAGCCATGCTTTATATTTAGAAAATTTTATTTCCCACATTTAGCTTCACTTGTAAATTAATGAACATTTAATATAAATTCTAATAATAATTTATTAAATAATTTATAAATCCTAAAACGAAAATTAGGATGTGACAGTGGACTCTTAATTATTAGCCACTTTTGCTTATGTAGCATGCCAAAGTGGCAACCCAGGGTGAAAAATTGCGTAGGGACCACACGTCAGTCTCTCCCTCCCCTTCATTTCGACAGTCCCGTCGACGCCGGCGACGCCCCCTGCTACACCGCACGCAACCGTCGACGCCGGCACTGCTACGCTGCTCCATCGCGCGCATCTCTTGCACCACGTCGATGTCGGCGCTCGTGCTCCTCGTCGCCACCCACAGTGCCGTCGCGGTGTACAACCTAGTGCAACGAGCTCGGTGCGCAGCGGCAGTGTTCATGCCAGCGGCGTTGCGGAGGGGCAGCGGCGTTGCGGAGGGGCAGCGGCGCGGCAGTGCTCCTCCAGCTCATCTTTCTCGTCGTCCTCGACTCCCACTCTCCTACTCACATGCGGCGGCGTTGAGGAGGGGCGGCGGCGTGGCGGTGCTCCTCCGGCTCTTCTTCCTCGCCAACCTCCACTCCCGCCGGCGGTGGCGGCGCCGAGCTAGCTGTGGCATGCTGTACACCCCGGCGGCGCTGTGGGTGGCGATGAGGAGCACGAGAGCCGATGTCGATGGGGTGCAGGAGATGCGTCGACAGGGCTGGAGAGATGAAGAGGAGGGAGAGACTGACGAGTGGTCCCCATGCCATTTTTCACCTTGGGTTGCCACTTTGGCATATGACACTTAGGCAAAAGTGGCAAATAGTTAGGCAAAAATGGCAAATAGTTAAGAGACCACCTCTATAAAAGGGCAAAAAAATTAACTCCAAACCTAAGAAGGGTATTTGGATAATTGCCGAATCTAAAAGTGGCAAATAGTTAAATTCCCCGGCAAAGGAGAGTGCGTTGGGAAGGAGGAGCGATATGAGCCGTTGGGTTCGATGATTTTGGGTCGTTGGATTGGTGAATTAAGATGATCCAATATATATACAATTCAAATCAGGCTTTTCAAACACCATTTTAGGGTGTTGGACACGGAATAAGACGAATATTCAAAAGTTGGACACGGAAACCCACAACTACACTTAAAATGAGACGGAGGGAGTATATAGTTTTTTTTCCATCTGATTTAGCAAGTCAAACTCATAGCTAACTCCAGCAACCTCTCAATCTACCCTCTTTATTCTGAGTATACGACACTAAGATCCGTATGTCAATCTCTACCATCCTCCTAACTACGCTACCTTTGATCCTCTATCCTCCTTCCTCCCGTAGCAACAACAGTGACAAGAAGGGGAGAAGTCGGCAATGGTGGCATGCGGTAAGAGGGATGGATAGCCGATGGCAGCGGCTGGTGGCAAGAGGACAAGAAGATGGCGGCAACAACAACACTAGTTGTGATGGCGGTGGATTCACGTGATGGGGGAGGTGGATCTGCATCAGCCAACGGTGGAAGGAGCAATGACCTCAGCCACGGCAGAGGTACGCTCGCACGACGGGGAGGCGGAGGCACGATGGCCGTTGATGTCGGAGCTACAGAGGGCGCCACTAAGCTATCTTGCAGGTGGCACCCTCCCTCCCTCGCCATGTCTCACCCTCGCTTGCCCTTTTTGTCGCCGGTGTTCTCGATCCTCCCTCACTGCACCGCCATCTCACCCTCTCGCCCTCACCCCATCCCCTCCAACCGCGGGCAGAGGCCAACGTAGTGGAGGCCTAGCGCAATGGAGCCCCGTCGGTGACCGCCTATCACCTCGTCTAGAGAGGGAGGGGGGGGGGATAGAGTTGTGGGACCCACGATTGGGAAGTGATGTTGGGTGGCTAAATTTGGCTAGGAGTGAAGAGATTTGGGCAGCCAGATGCCTTGGCCATCCTATTAGAGAGACTATTAGAGCACTTTTTTTTTAATAGAGTAGCCAAATTTTAGTTTGGAGAGGATGTCGCAGTTGCTCTTTAGGATGCATGAAATAAGGGATGGGTAAAGGCATGGGAGCGCCTCTGTTTCTTTCGGCAGACGAGGACGAAGTGTACTATGAATATACCTTGATGGCAGCATGGTTACATCATGGTAACCAGGGAAAATTGCCAATATCTAAATATGTACGTATGTATTGGAAATCTAGACATTCAATGTAGACAAATCTCGCTATCAAGACTAAAAATTTCTCCCGGATTCAACCATGAGTAAAAATTTTACTCACATGAAAAATTTTACTTCGGTGACGTGGATTAATCACAAGCCTCCATTTTTTTATACAACAGTAGTTTTCAGATTTTTCACTGCATATCTAGTTTACAGTACATATTTTCTCTCGTAACCACGATAAATTCACATCCTAAATTTTGTCCAAATTTTTAAACTCCGCACGGTAAACGATGGTATTAACGGTGTGCTGAAGATAAAAAGAAAAAAATACAAAGAACAGCAATAATTCTAAAAAATCCAAAAAAAAATTGAAAGTCTCAGGACTACATACTACTTTTTTTTGCAGAACATTTCTTATGTCTTACTACTCCATCCAAAAAAGAGAGAAACCCTAGCTACGAACCTGAGAGAAACCCTAGCTACGAACCTGGATATATGTGTGTCCAGGTTCGTAGCTAGGATTGGTTTTTTTAAGAACAGATAGGGTATACAATTAAACAAAGTAGCAATCAAATTCCAACCTCTCTCTCGTTTTGTAACATCTTTTCAATTTCTATGGAGCTACAGAATATAAAGTAAACTCTACCATTTTCACAAACTTTGTTCATACTTGTAGATATATTTTTATTTTTTTCCAAAATTGAATTCAAACAAAATTCATTGAACCCTACCGACGGTTTCACCTACCATGTCCCCACAATAAACTCAATTACCACGCAGTAACCGCCGGTAGGCGACACCCTTATCACAACCAGAAACGGGTGCATATACAAATGGTACAAGGGTATAGGGCATTTCCGAATAAGGATAATGTACATGATCTCTTAGCTTATTCTCAATATACCTATCATTTAAGGTACAAATAAGCCCGATTACGATTCCCATTACACTGATAACCGATCAAGCGTGATCAAAAAGTGCTGAAATGTCTACAAGGAAGACTGCAAACTATCATAATGTAACTAAACGATGTTCATCAACGTACATGGGACTTGCATAATTCACTTATTAGTACCTACTGACCAACACAAAATCATCGTCGTCAAGAACCCGTGCCTCGTTCTCACCCACAAAGTTTTCCCGTCCAATAGATTCAACGATTCGGACAAACTCTACCCTCTTTTCAAGAGGAAGAGGTACATATGGTAATCTGAAAACAGGCCTTACCACTCCAAGCTGAGCCAGGGCAGTGTTGAGAGCAATTGGATTTGGCTGGCAAAACAACCATTTCATCAGGGGAAAGAGCTTCTCATTTAGCGTCTTATTCTCCCCTTCATACATGAGATCGTGCATGAGACCAGGAATAAGGTTGCTAGCCACAGAAATAACTCCAGTGGCACCATATTTCCACCTAGAATCATGGCATTCATCATCATTACCACTCCATATGGTTATACCTTTGTCAGTGTAGCACTTAACCCTCTCATGTCCAACACATTCTTTCACACCTGCCAAGTTTGTGAAACTTGAAACAGCCTCAATAACTGCAGGAGGAATATCCTGGCCAGTCCTAGATGGAACATTGTAAATAATGGTTGGACCCATTGGGAGGACAGCCTCAAAATGAGATATCAACCCTTCGATAGAGGTCTTCCCATAGTAAGGATTGATATGGAGAGCCGCATGCATACCTACAGCAAATCCCTGCTCTGTTGCATGAATAGCCTCTCTTGTTGAGTTACTACCTGTGTTGCCTACCACTTTAACTTTAGCACCAAAGCAGTTAACAGTATGTCCAATAAGCATGATGTGTTCATCCCAGCTCATAAGGTGGCCCTCTCCTGTTGTTCCTCCAACTATTACACCTTCAGCACCACCATCTATCTGCATATTTATCAGTGAATCATATGCTTCAAGATCAAATCTTCCATCAGGCAGATATGGGGTTTTGACCGCTGTAATTACTCTGAGACTAGTGATATCAGCTGTTGATGTCCTGCGGATCAGAAAAAGGAAGATCATATCTCAGCAGCAGATAGGTATCAAGCACTGAAATACCCATGTGCAAAAAAGGGATCACATGATTATTAAGTTACAAATTTACCAAGCACAAAATTGGGTTACCATTTACCAAAAGATTATACAGGATTATTTCATTTCACAAAATTGGAAATAGCAAGAACATCTTATTTCTCTTTAACGCGTGAATGATTATTCCTGATAAGACCTGAACTTGATACACATGAAGCATGTCCTCAGTAAGTCAGTATCCAACTTATACCGTTACACATCACCCGAGTGAACAGCACACAAGCAAACGTATGGCTCTAAGTAGCAATTTCGGATTTTGGTACAAGGTATGAAGAGATTTGGTGCTGGCATGGTACACATTGAATTCAGCAGGGGAATAAATGATTTCGGAACATGATAAAGTAAAATTGGTTACAAAAATTCAATTAGAACGGGATGTGGACATGTGAAGTTCTGACTGAAAAGTGGCAATTGAAAGTAGTTTACGGGACATCTTAATGTTCAGCTAAGCTTATGGAAACATAAATAAAACAAGGAACCAATTCTTTCCTTCCAAACTGAGAAGATTACCGATTTTTCACTTCAGTACTTCGCATTGGAAGATAATCATCAAGGGTGATGGCCTGCAATGCAAACTTTCCTCTGCTAATCCTGTATGAAAGTACTTCTTGTGTTAGTGTGTTGCATATGAAAGTAGAAAATGAATATGGGGGAGTTGATGAGCTAAATATCCTTCATCACTCCTTAAAATGACAGAAAAGAAGTTGCACAAATCGTCAGAAGTACAAAATCCTAAATAATTGAGATGGTAGCATATATATTTGGTTGGATAATTCACGCATTACAAAGCATAAGGCATCATGAATAAAAATAAGTGCAATATACCAAGACTAATGTAGCCTTCTTGGACTAACAAGAAATGCACACAGGTTATACCTCATAAAAACAGGTTTGCAATTGCCAAGTAATCCCTCTGTTTCATACTATAGGTCGCTTTGACATTTTTCCAAGTGAAACTTATTTGACCAAGCTTACAGAAAAATTTAGCGGCATCTAAAACACCAAATTAGTTTCATTAAAACTAAAATTTAATATATTTTGATGGTGTGTTTGTTTTGTATTGAAAATGCAGCTATATTTTTCTATAAACTTAGTCAAACTTGAACATATTTGACTAGGGAAAAAGTCAAAAATGACTTATAATATGAAATGGAGGTAGTAGATGCTAATCCAAATTATACTCCCTACCATTTGAAAAACTCTGTGCGGTAAGATTGCAAGACATATTTCAAGCCAACTAGTACTTGCTAGTCTAAAATGTACTTCCTTTAGTGTTTGCTCCCAAATTAAAATAATACCTCTAAAATTGCTACAGAATGCACAATCATATAAAAATCCCCTATTTTCAGTATTGCACAATAACTCTTGAATCTATACTACTCAGCGGTCCAGGTTTAGAATTAGCCCTATGTAGTTGATATTTAACTCATGGATAATCTCTGGGAAACTTAGTCGCAATCCGCGCATCAACGAAAATAACTGCACATTCCGTAAGAACCATACAGACTCTCAAGCTCCAACATCTGTATTGCGCAGCTGAAGCAATCTATATCAAATCAACCAAAAATGGTATTCCATAAGTCCCCAATCAACACTACCAAGCACATCCCATCCGCTGGCATCCCCAGCAGTTTGCCGTGATGGCTTTCAAATAGAAGCCGGGTCTCCGGACCTTCCCTCAAAAAAAAAAAAAAAAGCACATCCCATCCATCCAGGTCTCACCCGGTCGATCATTCCGCGCAGCAGTGAGGAATGGATAAAAATCAAAAGGGAAGGGGCAGCAGTAGCCAAGAGAGATGAAAACGACCTGAGCAGCGGCGCCGGTGCAGCCACGGCGGCGGGCCAAGGTCGCGCCAGCCGCGGAGCGGGTCCCAGGGCGGCGGCGTCCTTCCACGCGAGGCGGTGGGCGCCCCCCGTGCTGGCGATCAGCAGCGACGCCATCCTCGCCTCCGTGGAGAAAGAACGGACTAGGGTTTTGGCGTCTCGCTGTGGGGAGAGGGGAGAGTGCAGAGGGGATGGGGGATGGGGGATGCGCCGCGGCGGCAATAAGCGGTGCGCAAGATTTGTTTAGCAGTTTAGGTCGGACTTGTGATCGTACTGGACTACTGGTGGTGGTAAGGTGGAACTGGAATTTGCAAACCGCGGTCGTCGGTCGGTTCCGGTGGGTCTCGGACTCTCGGTAGGGAAATTCCACGGGAAGCGAGCGGTGCAGAAGCGAGTTTCTATTTTTTTTCTTTAACCTTTTTAATTTTTAAATTTAGAAATAAATCCCTGCAAAACTTAATGGACGCGACTCCGGCTCGGGCACCCGATGGAAGGAGGCTAAAATTGGACACTGACGTTAGCATGACGTTAGCACCCGATTTACATGCAAAACTATTTTAAAAACTGATTTTTCTCTTTAATTACTTATCCAAATTATGATCTGATTGCACCATAAATTCGTTGCAATTAAATCTTCAAAACAAGACCACACATGGATATATTCCGACGAAAAAAATTAGCTTATTATTGAATTATTTTTAAATGTTGCACGATGTTCCACCGGGTATATCGGAATTGTTTCACTAAGTAGATCAAGAATGTTTTACTCGTTTTAATCAGGTGTTGTTTCACCTTATATAAAAACAATGTTTCAGTAAATAGCAAAAAAATGTTTCAGTTCACTGCAACATTTGATCCATACATAGTGAAATATTATAAGTACACTAGGTGAAACATTTTTCGGTGGAACAACAAATGAAACGAATTCCCTTAATACAGGGCGTTTCCAAAATATGTGGGTTTTTTTTGTTACAATGGAATATTTCAGTTCACTGCAGCATTAGATCTATATATAGTGAAATATTGTGAGTACACTAGGTGAAACATTTTTCGTGGAACAAAAATAAACCAAATTCCCTTAATAGAGGGTTTCCAAAATATGTGGGTTTTTTATTGCAAAAAATATTTTAATTCACTGCAACATTAGATCTATAAATAATGAAACATTGTAAATACACTAGATGAAATATTTTTTGTGGAACAAGGGGAGACAACTGGGTGGGTCCAATGGAGGTACGCACGTGGGGGGGCGGGGAGCGACCGATTTGTTAAGAAACTTTAGGCTTCGCCCATGAAGGCCTGGCCCAAATACACTTATTGGGCCCATCACCGAACTTTCTATATATTGGATTGCACTATATAAAGAGAGGAGGAGGCTACTCATTGTACAATTGATTGGAGGATTGAATAGAAAAGAGAATCTCATCCCTAAACTTTGTGTCTCCACTTTTATACGATTACGGGACCCTCTTGGACTACTTCGTGTAGCTGGAGGGTTGTGTAATACGTTATCAGCACGAAGCTCTACCGGAGACCAAGGTTGAAAAAGGGTAAGAACTCAACAATCCTCTTTGCATCTCGTAGATTAAATTGCAAAAATGAAATCCTTGCATCTTGCTCGTTCCGTTTTTGTGACTCCCGACGAAAACCGCCATCGCCGACATGGTGTACAATAAAGTGGGCCCCACTTTATTGTACACCATGTTTTGGCTCAAAATGATTGCTCATTTCTGAGTTCTTGGCCCATCCATCCATAAGTCTCATTCTCACAGTGTCTATTTGATTGATCGATTGTTGTGCTGTCGATTCTCCTCCATTTTGATAGCTTCTCCTGCATGATTAGTTTTCCAAGCACATAGTGGAATAGAATGTTTTATTTGTGAAATAATGCATTGCAAACACAGCTAGTCTTTATATATTGGGTAGTATTCATGGTTGAAACTGGTCGATAACGACCGTCAACAAAACCCCCTAAGCTTGAACCTTTACTCGTCCCGAGTAAAGGACGAAAGGAATAAAGACTTGATTGTTGATAGGAGTTGTTGCAACGCTGTATATCTTAAAGATACAGATGCAAGGTATGTATACTCTCTCTAAAATCAAATAAGTTTGACACGGTGGCTTACCCTTACCCCTGATTCCCATGAGACACTGCCTCTCCTTGTCTTGAGCGGTTGTGAGACAGAACATCAATTAGAGCACTAATCACCCAATCTTTATTCAACTATCATTCCGGAAGTTTTCAAATGATTTTGCAAAAGAAAGCCAAGTTCCTCAAATGATTCTCTCGATCACTCAAAGTGTATGAATATGGATTCCTCACCAAATTTGCCTTTTTGATTCCTACTCTAAGGTTGATATATGGAGCTCGGTAGGGATCAAACATGGCATACTTGTATTCACATTTATTACTAAGTTAAAAACTTTGACTAAAATAGATGATAAATCATACTCAAGATCAAGATCGTGCAAAGTGTGTGTGAATAATATGGTGGAAAACTATGATGGAAAATAAAATGTGGATAAAGAAAATGCTTCTCCTTTCTCCTTTGTGCTTATGCTTTTCCTCCAAAATATGAATTTATTATTTTTCTCATAGCCATACATTTCCCTCTTTTTTTTTCTTTTTTTTTGCAAAGGATTTTTCTTTGGAAAGGAAACATGGATGGAGAGCTTATTCGTGGATAATGATAACATGGATATGGTGGATGATACGGATGCTATCTTCTAGTGTAGAAGCTTAGCATATGTGGGTGTATGATCTTGATCACAGAGCATGAAAAGTATCTACACAAGTCACAAGGATTTGACAAAGTTTAATGGAATTACAAGAAACCAGAATGTATATGGTTTAATCAATATGAATATTTTTGGCTTTGGTAGGAATTTATATCAAATGAGGAACTTTCAAATTTATCATTTTGGAAAATAAAACATACGGAACTCAAGTCAAACTTAGAACATGATCATAGCAACTCTTATTTTACTATCTCATATCTCGCAACAACCTAGACTCAGATCAGCAAAGTGCAGCTCACTTACCTCAGGTTCCCGGATAATTTTTGGCTTCTCTGATTCAAATTTTGAGACAATACTTAACCATGAATCCATATATGAGAGATATCAAACAGAGCAACTATTCATCATTTCAATATGAAGAACTAAGCATGTCTTACCTAGCATATTAAATCTAACCTATCTTTTTGGTATTTTTGGTTTTGCAAATTTTTATGTTGTTTTTAGGTTTATAAATGCAATGCAAAAATTTAAACATGCAGTTTGAAAAGGAAATATGCAATGTGATACAAGTTAACTTAGTGGGGGGAGAGACATCTCCCCCCAAGCTTGCTTCTTGCTATAGCTCATGGCGGGGATCAAATCCCTGGTAGCGGTGAAACGCTTGCCAGTCAGCTTGCTGCTGTTGCACTATTGTGTTGAAGTTTGCGAGCTGTGTATCAACAGACTGCTACCGTTCCAATGATTGTACCACATAATCCTCCAAGGTGTGTTGGACATTTCCCGCTTGCAGTTCAAGTGTATCCATCCTCCGGGTAAGTTCTCCCAGATACCCTTAAGAGGAGACTAAGCAATGCATCCAAGATGATGGAGGTAGACCACTTGAACTGAAGGAGCGCGAGTATTCCCAGTGCAGCTTCTGCGGCTCATGCCACCGGTTGTTGCTAGCATTCTATCAGAACGATCCTCTGGCATCATGTTTTGGGATTTGGATCCAACCGAGGCATCCGTGGTCGGGTCCCAACTGTCCCTGTACATCTGCTGGTGGTGAAGAGGAAGACGCCTCCTGAGGTGCTTCTCTCGCCATCCGTCATGTTACCCTGCGTGAGACATCACGAGGCAACTCCGCTTGGAGTGGAATGGTTAGTTCTCGGCAATTATACAAATGAAACTCCGGGTTAGGTAACAGAATCTCATTTGTATAGCCGGGAAACAAAAATATAAGATAATCATTTGGACCATGTTTGAGTATGTGGCATTGAACCAAATAGGTCTCATCAACATAAGAGCGGGTAATAGGAATACTTGCATATAAAGCAGAGTCCCAACTCTTCATGCTAAACGAGTCACCAAAGAAATACACTAAACAGGACCAGACAACTTCACATTTTCTAACCATTGCTTGATCATGGGTTGAACGGGTGAAACTTTGTTTTTTTTTAACCATGGCATACAAGAGGACTAGTTCGCACTATCCGGATAACAGCTCTATGAAACAACGTGAAACCAAGCAACTTATGCAACAGCCTTAAGGTAGGATTATGGATGTCATTAGTTCTAGGCTTTCTATAGGATGAGAGACCCGAAATACTTTGCCAAAACATGCGCTTGTTAAAATCAAGAAATGTGTCCCTGAAATTAACTTTGCATGTTTTGTCAAAGCCTAGATGCAAGCTAAGGTCTTTCCAAGAAAGGTGATATTCCTTGCGGAATAACCGGAAAGTAACACCATCGCCTACCTCTAGCAAGGCACATAAAAACTGCATGGTAAGCAAACGGGAACCCGGCTCATCTACACATGCAAATTTATCCCATCCTAAAGCACGCCAAATAGTATGAAACTCAGCATCCATCCCTATCCTTTTCAGAAGGTCGAGTCGTATGATCAGGTCTGAGTACACGCTCGGTCTTTCAGCATATGATAGGCTTGCATTTCCCGGTCGCCCACGAGGTCGAGATTGAAGTTGTCGTACTGCCTTGGTGGAACGTAAGCCTCCTCCATGGATGCATCCGCGGAAGAAGGTGCACTCGGCTTATCGTGTCGGCTTGTCCGTGAGCTTGACCGTCTCTTGAATATGCCCGAAAGTCGTTTCTTCATAGCTACAACAAAGAGCAAGAATACAAGATTACTCGGACGGGGGTTAAGCAAGTACCCGCCGATTAACCTTGCACCGAACTAAAGCAAACTTGTATATGCAAAGTGTCTAAACTAAATGCAGCGAATTGTGTGAATTTGAGGTAAGCCTGCAAAACTTTGAATGAATTTTGGAGCAAGATTTTTGAGAGGGAGTGAAAATGAGTTAAAATGGTGTGACTTCCCTCTCCTAGCCGAGCTGCATATATAGTGCATGGATAACTGCTAGTAATGGCATGTGGACCCCACTAGCCGCTACCCTGCAGAAATTTGCAGCCAGCCGGTGCCAGGCCGGTTGGTTCGGCCGAACCCCCGGTGGACCCAATTGTCCCCATATTTTGCTGTTGGATTCCAACGACTAGTGTGGTGGTGGCCGTGCAAACTTTTGCCAAAAAATTTATTTTATTTTGCTCACAAAAATTCATTTGAAGAATTTGCCTCAAATTCGAACCTCAATGCATGCTTTGA